ACTCATACTAAACTGGTAAACTGTCAATCCTATCACAAAACTCCTTTCAACAAATATCAAATAGGAAAGTCTTCTAAGCAATCAATTTGCACCTCTCAAACTGAAAGTAATTTCATTGACCATCCAACTTCACAAACAGCCTAAAAAAAATCTGCACTTGATTCTGCTGTTGAGTTCAGCTAAAGTTGTTGCAATTTCATCCACAGACAATGACAACAGCACCTTTAAGGCGAATTAACAGAATCCTACACCCCTGTCTCTGATCTCATACTAATAGAAAATCAATGTGAAATAGAACAGTATATGTTTCTATGCTATTGCATACCACTCTGGAGAATAGTCGTAAAGTTTCCAAGTCTTCCAAGATGTTACTAGCTTTGGTAGTAATAAGAAGCATATAGAGTTTCTCTAGAGGCTGGTAAACATATCTGACGCTTTCTGTTTCAACGAATGTGTGTTGCTTTCCAGTATTCATTAATTTGGGAAATGCGGCAAGAAGGCCCTCTACACGTGACCTTGTCATTTCCACAAACTGACGTGATACAATGGCTGTAGGAGTAAGACAAAATTTTTTTTCATATAATGGTTTGATATGTGATATTGCTGAGTATAAGTTGTTGTTGCAATGTATTTTACTCTTGACTTTAAAAACTGCAGTACAGAAACCCTTTACATCCTAAGATCAGAATGCATATTCTCCATGCTGCTCTTTATACATTCCCTAAGCTGCCAACAAGAAGAATTTGTCTGACAATCAGGAGTTTCTTTAGCTAGTGATCATTACCCTTATTCTCATTACCTTCATCCATGATTCAAGGGTGATATTGTTAGGAGAAGTTAGATACTAGTCACTCTTAGGAATCAAAGAGTTAAAAGGCAATGTTGTATTATAGCCTTGGTGAGTATCTTGGAATTTGGTTCCATGATAAATAGACTCGTGCCATAAAGAGAAAAATATATTTACAGTGTCAGCAAATCAATTTAACAGCACATTTCAATTCCACACCTGTGACAAGATGAAAAATATCTTTCTCTATTTCTTTACTGAGCTCCAAAACTTACTGTCTCTCTTAGTCTGTTTACAAACACAATGCTATTGACATTGCTGATCCTAACAGTGGGCCTTGCTCACCTTAGAGTCTCTGAGGCTCAGTGGTAGAGCATCAGAGCACGGAATCTGAAGGTCTGAGGTTTGATTCCTCATAGGAGCTCAGAATTTTTTTCTTTGTGTCATGCTTGTGACAAGATAAAAAACATCTTTCTTCATTTCTTAACCACGCTCAAAAACTTACCAACTCTCTCCTTCTATTAACAATTATATTTAGTTTGATTTGTAATTAAGGCAAACAGTGGGGCCATAACAAATCTTCTTTTAACATGTCACAAACACGTAATAGGGTCACCGTACCTTTTCCTGTTTTCGTACATATTGCTGCAGCGAGTAGAACCTATAAAGAATAATGTTGAGAGCAGGAACGTCTGAGCGTTTGCCTTCGTGAAACAAAATCGGGAAGATACAGAAGCCTTGATCTTTAACTTCTCATTATTAAACTTTTATTCAATGATGATTCACCACTCTTCGTCATCCTACGACGCGACGATAGAGGTGAATATTATACTCCGTAAACTGTTTAGTAATAAAATAGAAATAATTCCTCGCTCCCGTCGAATCACAGATTGGCATTCCAGTTTGAAAATTGCCTGACATGTGGGTAAAATACTTTAAAATGGTATCATACGAGATGCTTACTTCGACAAATAACAATGAAATAACCCAATTTTTACGCTTAAAAAGCACATAGATACAAAGAACAATAAATAAACTTACCATTTTGGCTATCAAACCTTATTTCACAGTAAATCAGGCCTCTCAGAGGCCAAAAATACAGCTATTTTGAAGGTTTATTCGTTCGCCACGTCCGCAAAAGATCCGTAAAGGATAGCCACAAAGTATTCTGGGATGACCGGTGATGCGCATGAACAGACTTCATAGGGATTAGTATCCAATCTCTATCGGCTTTGATCTGAGGCAGCGTCGACTGGGGCGAAGCCATATGTTCTCTACTTGGAGTCTAAATCTTGAATCTCCATTATCTTCATTGAAAGCCTCAAACCAGTGGTTGGAACCCGTAGGCTTGCATTACAGGCCTTGGTTAGGAAATCTAAACCATCTTGACCAACGCTATAAGCTGACTAATACCAAACCATGATAAAAACGTCTCAACTTTCAAGAAGTATTTCCAATTACCGGAAAACAAGCTAGCTATTGGGAAAGTCGGTTTCAAATGTTGTGGTTGACTCGTGACAGCTTTCAACTTAAGATATATTCGGGGTTTTAGAGGAGGTTTTTAGGGTGAATTAAAAAAATTATTTTTTCGAATTGTTTTCAATCACTAAAACAACAAAGATATATACAAAAAGAAGATTTATCACTATAGGACAGAATGTCGAAAAATATCCCTTAGACTCAAATAATTAATTTGAAAGAAAGATTTCCCCAGAGCTGGAACAAACACCAACAAACCAGGCCGTCTGGATACGTTTCTCTTTGTCAAACATAAATTTTCCTTTGATTACTGTTTATGAAAGAAAACTCCGCTCGATTCAGCCACATCGTGAATTATTTATGTGGAGTGACGCTTTTGTGTTGTTCTCGTTAATTATCTTCGGTATAAATTGACGCATCTTCTAGTTCGAGAGGTCAAAACTACTCGAAATGTTCCAGTTAAATTTTCGAGCATATTCCTGTAGTCAAAGGTGAGTAAAAATAATAACTCCTCAATAAACAGTAGATTAATTTATTTAACTGAGAGAAAAGAAAGCAAACTGTACTTCATTTTAACTGCTTTTAACAATACTTCATATCTCAATCAACAAACTGTTTGATTTCGCCCGTTTGTTTTGTATTTTACAAGGCTGTCTTCTCGACGATTTCGCTCATATTCTTTCTTTACTGTATGGTTAAAAAAAACTGCCAAAGCTTGCATATCTACCACAACAACAGCAGGGTCCGTAAAATTAAATCTAATACAACGAAACATGACAGAAGATACAATTCTAGTTCCTCGTTGAACTACCTGCCTCGTCGAATTAAATTTTCTTCTGTTTACCACAGACATACGCAAACTTTCAGTGATATTTTTATCAGGCTAACGAGAGACGAATTTTTAAAAATATTTACAGTAAATTTAAACTGCATGTAGAATATTTTATCCTGAGTCTGAGGTTTCGAATTGAAATAATTAATGAATTTAGTTATGCATCATTTTGAATAATGTCGAGGCTTTTCAATTGAATGTCTGTTGTAGTCGTTTAATTTTAGTATGGCTGAGTAATCGTGTGTATCAATAAAGCACGGCGTTTGAAACTGACTTATAACTGGAGAACTCCCAGGAGAGTCAAACTGGTCTTTTCTTCAAAATATATCTTCTAAATGCTAACAAGTACGCTAATTTGGTTGAGAGTCATGCTCTGTTATAATCTCTGTGTACTAAAATATTGTTAGGGACAACATTTGTCATTCTTAGTTCCAAATTTGTTTTGTTTTCAGTAAGCATACGACGATAATAGCCAAGATCTTGCGGTATTATAATCGAAAATTGGTTTTCTTTTTCCTTTCTAAGAAGATAAAAATCTACGTTAAGAAGGATTTCAGAATGTTTACATCTACATACCCAGCTGTAGATGTTTGAAAAGTGGACCAAAATGATTATGATAAATTAGCGCACGTCTTGGCCAATAAAATTTGAACTTAGTGCTATTATTTTACAGTAATGAAAGGTTCAGTCCGAAACATATGTGTAACTGGCAAAAACTAAGTTATGGCGAGGTTAAATAATTGTCTTTTCTTTCTCCTGCATGCTTTTGTTCACATCATAAGTGGAAGACGTACAAAATTCGACCAATCAGGACCAGTCATCGGGTTAACCGTTTTGGTCTCGTGTTTGTCTCGTAGAGAAGAGTCCAAAGTAATGGTTTCCTACTTCGTATCTGCTTTTTGGTTGGTCTTTCAACGTCACGCCACTTTCTCTCAACCAGTCAAACGCAAAGCTAATGTTAATCGCGCGTCTGTTCAAAGCTCATCCTTGGATGGCAAATTTTAAACGCCAACCGTCCATTTAACAAGAAATTAAAAAGTCATCAAAATTCTTAGCAAGCTCTAGTGTAGGACCCATCAAAATCTAGGAGCGAAATGCGGGAAAAAGCTTGCAATTGTCGCATTGGCAAAAAAATATTTATACTCTCGTATGAAGCAATTTTTACTTGAAATTAAACAAAGTGCTAAAATATGAGGAGGGACTGGATGCGAATATCCAACCCGCTCTTCATTGAGGCCCTTTTTTTCCTCGTCAAACCACAGGAAACCCACACTACTGATGTTACCGTTTGTACATTTGAGTAGCTGGAAACTTGATCAGTCGTTGGTTTTCGCGTTGAATATTCTCGATTAAGATGTGAATTTTGCGTATTGATTGGTATAAAACGAGTGTTATGAATAAATCCCATACTTCTCCCCAAATACAAATAATCGAACGGGCGCACCGTTTGTGTGAGATCCCTGTGGTCATGCAAGGAAAGCTTCCAAGTGTATTGTGGGAGGGGAAAGTGAACTGACTCGCTTCATCATACGAAGGTTGAAGCACTGATTAGAAAATTATTAATTGTATTTTAGCTGTATTATGAAATTGATAATCAGTTGTAAGCGCTAAAACATTTTTCTATGCATAACTCAGAACAGAAAATTGAAGTGAAATTTTCCAATAGGAAAGAAATAGTTTACCAAACACGCGACGAAATGTACCGTTTCCAAAATTTCTCCGTTCCTATCCCAATTTACGAAATTGGGTTGCCTTGACAAATATTGGAGGTAGAGAATTAAGAACGAACACTCTTTTCGCTGCTCAAAAATATGCGCACACGAATCAATTCATATGCAAATGAACCTTCGAGAACTTTAGCAGAAGGGCCGGCCGGGAAAATTATTTAAATATATAACCAACCAGCAAGTTGATATTTCTCGCGTTACTCCTAAATTGCAAGTGCATCGGAATAAATCGTGTTCCAAGTTTCAGTGAAATTAACCACTGAGTGCTCATGGTGAGTGAAACTATAGAGCTTTTGCCTTTATTTTTGTGGCTTGGTGAGTTCTGTCTTATTATCGAGGATAATTATTAGTGCAAGTGAAGCATACAACCTGGATATGATATTTATTATATCAATCAACAGGATCAGTTAGCGAATGAATATTTTAACGCATGTTTGGGCTCGATATTCACGCAAATTTCAAATTAAGGATCTATTTAACTAAAATTTGGAGAGATCTAAATTTGCGAAATGTTTCAAAATGCTCTTTACGATTAAGGCATATTTTTAGTAGGAGGGCTTGCTTGGACAATACAAGAATCGCGTAGCATACGCATATCATTTAAGTAGTCAGTAGGAAACTAAGGTAACAGGTGAATGTATTTTAGATTTTGCTCCTGTTTAGTCGAGCGTGAAGTAGAGAGCAAAAAAAAAAAAACAGAGTTGATAATCGAAAGAGAAAATTTTAAAATGTCACTGAAATGTCTGAGAAGTACAAGTTTGCATCCAATAAGACAGACAATCGTGCACTATCCTTTTAATTGAAATATGGAATAACGTCTTAACTCGTGTTCTAAAAATCCCAATTTTCACGTCGCCAAATCGTAAACTCGAAAATTAATAGTGTAATTTGTTGTAAAAATAATGGGTGGAGGGCTTGCCAACATAATGACACCTCTAATAACAGTGTACATGTGATATTTAGCGGGTAAATATTTTACCGTTTGTCTGGGCTAAGCACGCAAAATTTTAAAGTATGGAAATATTCTTCAATCAAATTTTAACGGATTCGAGGTTTCAGAAATGTTTCAGAAATGTTTCAGAATCCGTAGAATTTTCGATGTAAGTATGTTGTCGGAGCAAGAGCTGGAAAATATTCAAATCCGGTGCAGTATTTTCATTAGTTTTTTCGCAACAAGATATATATTGGCTGACTTTTTAAAGTGTTTTTCAAGAAAAAATGTACAATAAAGAAAGCGTTTTTGTTTTCGTATGAGAAATTATTTTCAAAAGCGATGTACTAGACGTGGTTCGGTTTCATGCAGATGGACTGCCAACCACCATTCTCCTGACCGACCGTTTTGATTCATTATCAAACTTGTCAACGTTTTTTTCGCGAATATCCTAATTGCGCGTTCCACTTTGAAAACTCGAGGAAGTAAAATCTCTATCATAAAACAATGGTTGAAATGTTGGGTAATACAATGGTATATCCGGTAAACCATGCAAGTGGATTTTCTAATTGCTATTAAAACAGAGTATGGTTTAAAGCCAGCATAGTTTATGCAAATCCTGCCATGTATGTTAATTTGCTAACGACTATTTTTTGACCCTAAGCAATTTGTCGCATAATTAAAGGTACTTTCGGGCTCACTATCATTCAAAAGAATAATCGATATCGCAGTTTTTGATAAAATATTGTATCAAGTGGGTAGAGCCTAAAAAAAACAATAACTTTTCCCCTCGTGTTTAGTTGTGCTGGAAGATTAAAAAGTACGCAAAGATGTTGTTACTAATAGTAAACTTTAACTAAACGACTTTTAGAAATTTTGTATCGAAAGCTGAAATATATTTTCGGTTTCTTGGGAGAATCGCAGCTTGACATACCCGCTTGGCATTTTTCCTGAGGCGATAGCGCGCGATCGACCTTGCTAGAAATTTCCTTTTTTCACGTTCTCTTGTCTTTTATTTTTACACCACGACGACCTATCGTCTTATTCTGTCACTTTATCACCCAGTAAACAATTAAATTCTGACAGTTTACAAACCATTAGCGAGAACTATTGTTTAATTGTTTGCGAAAGCCTCTACTCCAAGGCAAATTTTTTAAGGGCACCTGCTGCCCTCCCCTGTCCCTCTGAATGTTAGTCCGCAGGATGGCATGGACACATTGGCAATTGACAGCATTTGAAGGGGAAGAGGCGAAAGAACATCACCCTTGAGGCATGGCTCTGGATAAGTGCCCCAACTTATTGTGTTTGGGGGTGTAGCAAAAAAGAATAATTGCTCTTGATGGCATGGGGCATAAGGGGTCAGTCATCATCATCACCTGGGGGTAGGGGTTGGTGGATTTTGGTTGTGACACAAAAAAGGTTCACTTGATCCCCCCTTAGTTATCAGTTTATTGGGAGTCAATCTTATACAGTCACTCCTCTATCTCCTCTATACTCTATTGGCGACATCTGATCCTCCCTCCGTTCCCCCGGAAACCCCCTCCCCCCCCCCCCCCCCCCCCCCGTGATAAATGCTGACTGGTCTCTAAGCCTGGGTGACTGCAAATAGAACTCAATGTTAACCGAACTACTCTCGACTGTGATTCTGTGGGATGGGAAATGAGGTGGGACCAATTAACTCATCTTCACCTCTATCAGGATAAGGAGAAATTTTGACATAAAGTAGACTCACAGCAAAAAAGGGTGTTGACTGAACCCTGATGCCATCTCCCTTAGAACGGTTCCTCGAAATGTAACGCAACATGACATCCCATAGAAAAGCTGTGGACACTATGAAGTGCTACCTGTGTGCAGGTCAATTTGAGAGACATAAACATCCATCAAAGCTAACGATTACAACAGTAGACGGCGAAGGTTACTATCTCATCAAGAGGCATTAAAGAGGCTCGAAATATTATCAAATCCGAGACAATCGGAAGCTTTTTCAGAAAAATTCGCTCAAAGACATACGAGCACAGAGACAAGATAGATGTTATGTAGAATGGAATCAGGTTGGGATGACTACAGCCCCTCTCTCACTCTCCTTCCTCGACTCGATCCATCCAAGCCTCGAATGGGATGTGACAAGTTCCAGGGAAAGCCAAAGCAAAATGTCTAGGGGTCACTGTACTTGACATCAATTAGCGCCACTGTGGTTTTTTTAGTTAAAACATCAGGTACACAAGAATGCTGAAATGCAATGACAATTCATTTGATTCAATTAGTCCGGTATAAACATAACAAGGGCGGAAACAAGAAACATCAACAAACAGTCTTTTATCGAACTTAGCACAGGTTAAATGTTATCAACAAAAATACAACTAGGCAGCTTTCTTCTCAGCGTGCGATACGACGCGGTATCACCCGGTGCATTTCTAACCATCGCGCAGGTTCCCACAAGGGTACCTGTTATCTCTCTATAAGGGCAGCTGATAACTAGTGATAACACCCGGTGATAAACACACCGAGTTTTTAATGGCATCACGAAGGTCTTCTGCTCCGTTTTTGCTTATCATGAAATTATGAAAATCAGAACATATCAATAACGGATTTACTTATCTTTAGATGTGGAATCAATGGCGCAGATACAAAGTGACTGAGGGATAACTTGGCGAAAACCGATTTAAATGGTGTCATTTCGCCCCAAAGATTTCAAAAGGTAAGTTTGTATCCACTCTCTCAATAGCCACGCTTAAAACTCTAACCACATTAACAAAGCTGACTGAAATTGTTGATGCAACAGATAACACGAAACAAAAACCCCTTAAAAAAAGATATGCAAACGTTAATTTTCCTTTGATTCGCCGCCCACGGAAATTGTAATCGATTGATCGAAATTTATTTCGGCGTTGATGCGTCTATCAAAGTTTAGCATCTGTTACTTAGCGTGCATTGGTTTCTTATGGCGCCCTTAAGAAATTCATTCTGATGCATATCTCTTCTGCCTTGTAAGGAAAAGTGTTAGTCATCAAACATCTTTAAACTTTGGTGGCTATGGGAGAAAAAATAAATAATTGTTTTTGTTTGAATTTTAGAGCGTTAACACTTTCGACATGAGGGTATAAATAAATAAATAAATAAATCAAGAGGTAGAGGGGTGAGCGTTTGAGAGAAATTTGGGTTGAGTATGTCGATCAGACTTAAAACCTTGACCCTGTTAAGAAAAATCTCTTCATTTTGCCAAGCTGTTCTGGATTAAGAATTTTAATAGATTGTGGTTTCTCTGAATTTCTCATTATAATGTCAATACAATATCAAGCGGACAAGTGATGAGAATAAAGAAAAATATCAATGAGGGCATGATTAGTTGATCCACTACCAAATTCTCTCAACAAACAAATAAGGATGATACGGCAGACAGACAGGAGAATAAATAAATCTTATCAGACGTTTTTGTGTGTAGTATCGCTGAGTATTTTTACGAGTTGTGTTGTAATTTGATGAGCCCGATACAAACAACGAGTAAAAATATTCAGCGATACTACACACCAAAACTTCTAATAAGATATTTAGTATCCAACTGCTGAGTCTTTCTGCTCATTTCTCATAAGGCGGGAAAAGCAAAGCGGATAGAGAAGCGTAGCGCGCGCAGCCGACTGCTTAAACAGGTTTTTTTTACAGTACAAAATAACCAACTGTCCAAATAACCTTAAAATTTCGCTGGATATTTTGTACTCAATTCGCGCATTATTTGTACTTTACTTTGTGCAGTTGCATGGTAACAACTGATATTCTCTTGGTTTCCAACTGTTATAGCAGTAGCTACTTGAATCGCTTACATCGGAATTTTTATCAAGGAAGATTCAAATAAAAAGCGAGACAAAATTAGTTTACTGTTAAGTTATCATGACTTCAACAAGCGGAAAATGTTACCGCAAACACAAGAAGTATTGATACAAAAAAAATGCTTCCAAATAAGATCTAGATTTGTTCGTTTATTAATCTAAGTATCCCATTACGAGGCGATTTTTATATCAAAATAATATGCAAGATTTTCTCTTTCTTTTCTTCTCTCTCTCTCTCTCTCTCTTTTTTTAGCTCTTTTACTAAAGAATAAAACTCGTTTATGAGTTCGGCTGCCATGTCATTTACCAAATCGGAAGTGCTTTGTAAACTTCATCATGGTGTTTTAGGTTTGGCAGTTACTTCTTGTTCAGATTTCCCCGTTCAAGACCTTTCCAACCAGTTTCAGCTCATTTTCAGAAGGGAAGTTTTTGTACCTGACAGTGATCCTTTCATGTTTTGTTATTCACTTGGGTGGTAGATGGGGGATGATTCTCAAATGATCACTTTCAGTTGTTAAGAGGATTAGGATTATCGGGCAGGGTTTCCTCGAGACCTTTTATGGACATATGTTGATAGTAATTATGTCATTGGAGTCATCTAACGAAGAGAAGATCTCATCACCGATTTGGAAAAGAAAAATCCGCGAGTAAATTGCATCAACTGTTTTCCAAAGAATACAATTGTGTTTCCAGCATGACAAAGTGACATGACACTATTCGAACGGCTGAATGATTTTTAAATCAGTCAACAGTTAAAACATGAAACGAGCACAGTTACGATCTGAGTAAAAAATTAAAGTATCGTATTTCAAACCTACATTTAGACGTTTTAGGATGCGGGCCAACTCATCAGCAACGAAATATAACAGCAATATTAATCTAGACGCTGTGGGCAGAAGCGAAAATAGGTACGAGATCAATGAACCTTTTAAAAAGGAGTTTATTCACCAAGAACAAATCACTTGTTATTTCTTTGTCCTCAATTGACGTAAATTGAGTGTGATATTTTTCCGGCAAAAGGTGTCTATCACTACAAAGGAATTTTTAGAGTTCACGGAGCAAAGCGAGACAAGATTTCCGAGGGTACTTCATTCAACATGCAATATTATGCCGACGTCATAAGTAGTATGCCAAGCGTTCTGACACCTTTACAAATTGTGCAACGTTTTACATCCGAGATATTGCCACAAAGTTACGTGAACCGTGTCAAAGTATTCTCCTATTTCTTTTCTAGGGTAAAAGATGACTGAGATCCTGTTCAAAATATTAGTGGCACTAGTTCAGTTGATTTCGCTGCAATGGACATCCATTTGTGGTAAGTTTGACGGATGTTTTGGTTATAAATTTTTTAAAATATTGACAAATGCCTTGCGAGAATGTTTCGCTGTGTTTAAGTCCCTTTTTCTCGTGGTTTGTAAGCTTAAAGCTACCCCGATTAGCTGAGATTAAGAAAGGAAATTAATGCGTTTGAAAATAGTTCAAGAACTCAGTTTTTCTCTTGTACTGATGAAATACACAGATGAAATGCAAGACTTGATCAGTGGAGGGAAATGTTGTCATTTTGTTTCAAAATATTGATTAAAAATGCGACTTCGCTCAAAACAAGTTCAGTCAGATTATTTTGGCATATGATCTTGGCCCAATGGATTCGAACTAAAGGATGCAATTCATTATTGAAGGGTAGGCCGGGACAAAGTATGTCACGCAATAATTGAAACTTCACCTACGCCTAGTTCCATTTGACATTTGTTCATTTGTCTACGATCAATCCGTCTTTTTTTCTTTCGTCCCTTGCCCGAGTCTAAAGAATGACTGAAGAATATAAGTAAGCTCCACGCGAAGGGGCGAGGAGGTTAAGGTTTTGTGGATTTCTTTACACTCGCACGTGAAGCTGCAAAAGAGAGGCTGATCGTAGTCTAACCACGACACAAAATCTAACATCAGATCCGCGTCGGAAACCACTCGGAAAGAGCTCTTGTCACATGATTCGTTGGTACAAGCTACGGTCTTGAAGCGTCATTCGTGTACATCAACAATCACGTATCACATCTGAGAAGGAGCAAAGGTTAGGCATGTAGCCTACCTGGAGGGGGCGTAAGCCAACGCGAGTGGTGCTTGCGCTCAATTTTGCATGAGTGTTTAAAGCAACGATAAACGGCTGCTAGTATTGTGTTTGATTTTAAACTGAAAACTGCAGCCCAGTGAACCTAACCGCTTAACACACCAGCAAACGCTCGTCTGTCGATTACGCCTCAGATGGCATGCTAATGCATGGCATTTCAACCGGACACAGAAAAAACAGCGCGATTAATCTTTGTCACTCATCACCTGATAAGTTACTTCCCAGGCGAACCCTTATTGTTTAGGCTTCCTGTCTCTCTCCAGAAGATGAACTCTGAGCCTCAATCGCGAGACGTCCTTGAAACGCCCGCAGTCTTTGTGGGTAGAGAACTAAATTACCGCAGTAAAAACAACTATTTTACGTGATTTTTTGTCCAACATTTGAAACCTTGTGAGCAATACTACTTAGGATTACAAAGTGCTTTTCTGAGCCTCACACAACAAAAAAGTTATTGATTCTTAAAATTAAAAGTTATTTTCCTCGTCTTCAGATGGCACTGTCCATGTTCCCAAAGGGAATTATACCATACCCGAGGGTGGCGAATTAAGTATAAATTGTTCTGCGACAGACGAGGCTCTTACAGGTTGGTTTACATCCAGCGGAAAGAAGATAACTAATGACCCGTCAGCAAGAGTCCACGTAAGATCAAGTGGAAGTTTGAAGTACTTAGAGATCCCTAGGGTCAACAAGGCAGACCGAGGAACCTACGAATGTAGAGGGACTAGGAACAAGACGCAAATCCGGCTGAATGTCGAATGTAAGTATTATGAGGGTAGAGGGACGAAGTAACGACTTAAATGTAATCTAGGACCCATGCTCCCTGCGATTGATCTTGACTTAGATCTTTAAGGGTCAGTCAGCTCAAGGGACAATGATTTAAAAGCCCATGCTGATGGAGCTTATCCCGTTTCGTTTCCGTTGAATAGAGCGGGAAGGAGTACTGTGACTCACCTCTACCCCGGAAGATATGCCAGTCTATCGCAGGTGAATTTAGTAAGGTTTTCCTTACTATTTACCTATTTACTAGTACCCATTTATGCTCTTGGGTCTCTTGGGCGCTCGGAAAATGAGCATGCGCTCATTCAACCGAAAAAAAACGGCGGAAATCTGCAATACTGTGTTTTTCATGGCGGAACGTGCGCAAGCGCTACAAGTAATTGCATTCGGTAAGAGAAAGAAAGGAGGAATACCTCAAAAAGTATACCTTTTCCAGATGATAAGTCATTGCTTTCTTTCTCCGTGCAAATGTAAAGCGCCTGGACAGAAGTGTCGCAAAACGCAGGTGAACAAGTCTGAATGAATGACTGAGAGAGTATGGGGCGATTATTATAGACCAATCAAAGAGTGTTGTAGTCTAGACGAGGGACACCAGGGACACCAGTGAGATTACATTAATCGAGTATCAAACCTAATGATAGCCCTCTTTTTTTGTTTGCAGATAGCCCCGTTTTGATCAGTGAAAGCTCCACGCACGGAACGATATTTTCATCATTAGACAGTAATAAGGAAATAACACTGAAATGTAAATTTGATGGATTTCCAGTTCCCGAATTAAAGTTCCAATTCGCTGGTGTTAATTTGAATAGCATTTCCAACGCATCCGGGTTTGTTTCCTACAAGTTTCGTGTTACAAAACCAAGGGACTTTGGATTTTACAGCTGTGTGGCTGAAAATAAGATGGGTACAGTAACACATTACATTGAGGTTTACGAAAGAGGTGAGTTTAAATTCTTAAAAAGAAAAAAGAAAAAAGAAAACGGGGACCGAACTGCCGCCTGTTTTGCCGCCAGTTTTGCCTCGATTTCACTTGTTGACATCAAAGGATATCACTTTACAGTTTGCGCAGCTTGAAAAAAGTTTAACTGAAATTTTTCAAACCTTTGTTTCAAAAGTAGAGTGTTTTAGATACACACTTCTATTTAAGGCTTCGTAGAGAAATGAAAACGGAGGCTTTGAAAATTTTGAGAAGAAAAGGCGTCATGTATTTTCGCCTGCATCTGCATTTTTAGGTTTTCAGAGTGGACGATAGACGGTAGACACAAACGCATCAAAATGCATATGTTTTCAAGTGAAATTGTTTTGCTTCATTTTGCTTGCTAAGGGAAGTCGCATTCTAAAAGTGGGGCATTTGCTATCTTTCCGTTCCAGGTCCTCCTGAGCCTCCAAATAACGTGCAAGCTTCATCGACGTGTGACAGTGTAGAGGTCACGTGGGAGGCGTCTCTCAAGGATGGCGGAAGCCCCGTGACAGGCTACACCGTCAAACTTTTGAATGGAGGCGAATCAGTTGCATCGGAATCTTTAACAAATTTAAGTCGCTCCAAGAGCTTTACAAATCTTAAAAAGAAAACTGAATACGAGGTTCGATTGAATTCTAACAATGCACTTGGCGGTGGAGAGTGGAGAAGTATTTCTCTCAATACTACTGTTGCATGTAAGGAAATACGTGGCATATCCAAGGCCTGTTCGAATTAGGGATCGGTCATTATTTATCGCCAGTGGGGTGGGGTTCGAAGGAGTTTGGTTATGTCACGTGTCCCCCATAAGGCTCTGCAATATTCTCATGATCCCCATCCCTCCCCCCTTCCTCATTAGTGGTCAATTTCCCATGGTCCCCTTTTATAGCCTTTAGGCAACGACTGGTTCTCCCTCGGTTTCAGCTGAAACCATGTCATCGACCCCAATATCTTCCACCCCCCTTCACCCCTGCAAAGCGATAAATAATGACTGATTGTGTAAAAGCCTCGGCCACCAGCGATCTGTGTTTAGCTCTCGTTGCATTGATTTATCATTTTGTTTACGTTTATTCTGATCGGTATCTGAAATTGCCTCCGTTCCAGGAAGCTACGTTTTGCGAGGCTTTGCATATTTTCGAGCAAACCACGGTCTTTACTGAGACAAATATAATTTCCTTAATGAGCAAAGCTCAGGGTTGGTTGACTTGCGAAATAGGTTCTTTTTATTGGTATTGCTGCAATAAGCTATGACTGAAATAAAATCGTAGAGCACCACTCTTCGGGAATTGGTTCGGACGACATTTTCCTTCGCCAAGAGGTGATGCCTTTGAAGACGTTCTACGCGTTTCTTGACATCCCAAGAACGGCTGCGAAAAGGAATTGTTGGAGGAAGGAAGAGATAAAAATTTTGACAAGGGACCTGCAATCTTAACCGTTAGCAGGTAAGCAAACTGTTAAAAACTTTATCCAAGCCAATTTTCTCTTCTTTCTTAGGTCCTGAAAAACGTGGATCTTCAGGCAGCGAGTTAAAAGTTGTAACTTCGATTCTTACGCTTCTGATAATGTCGACGTTCGTTCACCTGGTGCTTTGAGTATGGATTGTTGCCCCGGTACTGGTACTGTCACTATGGTCAGAGATATTTGGCGCACCAAACACGCTTGAATAAAACTGTCGAGACTACTGGGAAAAGTTAACGAGAGCATCAACAAGATTCAGTACTTGCGTTTTTTGTGTGGCGTACATTTTGAGATCAACGACGAATAATGGTCCAAACATAGAAAATCGCTCAGGAAGATTAGGATTCTTAGCACTGGGCTGGTACTAGATTAAATCTCTAAAAATAGGGAAATTTCTAGAGAGACAGACAGAAATACAAAATTTAATTTATGTTAAAATTTCCCTAGTCCTTTTAATTAAGGTTTATATTTTTCAGCATATAACCTACCCCATAGTGATGAACAGACGAGGGAAACGGTGAGAAACCTGGATACGAGTGCCTTAACTTGGGGTATTTCTCATCCCTTTCTCTCCTAGAGCCACTGAAAAGTCAGAGTAATTTAACTAACAATGCCATTTCTCTCCCAAAATTTCGCTTTCGCGAGTGGTGGCCCCTTTCAAAGACTGTCTCACGTAACAAAACGTACGCCGAGAGAGATAGCGATGGACTCCATTTTCGGAATTAAGAAGATAATTAAAATTTTCGTTAAGCGGAGTGGATTAAGTTATCGGTAATATTCTCCTACAATGTCTTTGCGTTAAACTTTTAGACGAAGCTTTTCTCAAATGTTGGTTGATGGGATGTACGTTGACATTGTGTCGCTCTATAAAGTTGATTTAACATTTTTGCTGTTATAAGAGGGGAACCTCTCTTGCGTCGATGAGCTCCCCTTGCTATTTTGTCAAAGAAAAGTAAACAAATGAAGAAATAGATAACAAAAAATTGATATAAAAAACAAAAACAATACAAAAACAATTTCTAGTTATGATCGCCTAAGAGTGAAATGAGGTTAATGCAGATATGGAAAAATTACCTATACCAAACATTTTCGTTGCATTCCATAGCTCATTTAGAAATTTATTTATTCAAATTGTCACTATACGCTAGACCTTTTTTCAAGGTGTGCAATAAAATCAGTTGTGTTTTTCTTTTTCTCAGTACAAATGTCTCTTTCCTGTTGTTAAGTCCATTATGATAGAGATCGTGAGCACGCGAGGGACATAGATTTGCAAACCAAGTGCATCAACTTCAGAAGCTTGGTCCAAATGCAGGTGCTGAAAATGACTTCCACGCTTTGATCGTTGATAGGATGAGAATTTGGAGAACAAGGCGCCACACCTTCACAGAGAATTCTGCCTTTACCCGCTCTCCCCTCTCTCCTCCCCTCCAGGGGATCTATCCTTACATCTCTCCTCCCCTCCAGGGATCTATCCTTACCTCTCTCCTCCCCTCCAGGGGATCTATCGATCTATCGAAATTTTCCTACGATATCTCCTCGTTGTGGTTTTTTCATTGTGGCAATCGAGTTCTTGATATTTTAGCAAATAAACTGCTCTCGGACATCATATTTTTTTCTGCTATTAAAGTGAGGTTGAGCAGAAGTGTCGCTACCATGAATGTGAAGTTTTGTTGAGAGCGTCCCTCTCTTTACTTAATAAACTTCTTTGTGTTATTATTTCGCCAAAAGAATTCATGAAAATTATTTATTCTCACAAGTGGTATTTTCTTCGGTTGTTTTTAAAGGAGCTTTTGATGTCACGGCTATATTTAGAAGGTAAAACTCAGTGCATATGCATGGACATCGACAAGAAATGAGAGTTGGCTTTTATGACGCAATACTACACAGTTCACTTAGAAAATTATTTATACAAATAAACTTTTAAAATATTTTTGTCATCTGAGCAATGGACTTTCATGTTTTTATTGCAAAAAAAAGGATGCTGGTTGTTCATGTTTTAATTTTAAAGCTCTTGCATCATGATCTGAGAAATCGTTTGAAAACACCTGCCTCAGTGTTCAAACGAGCTGACATTGGAAGATAACTCGGAAAGTTATTTGATATGAGTTTTTTTTTTTTGCGCTGTGCTAATTCCTTTACCGTAAATAAATCTAGCGACTTTGGTGTGGTAGGATCGAAGAATACCAAACTAGGAACGTAAAACCATAAACGGAATGGGAACGTTTAAAGATTTAGAAGCTTAACACGGATTTCAGATGACGAAAATAGATAACTTTGGGTAAATTTCAACGAATGCATACAGTTAAAGGAAAGAACGTGTCTTGCATAAGTTTTATTGCATCGTGTGTGGGAAAGTTAGACAGGAGAAAAACAAAGTTATTAAGTGTCCAGCCCCTCTTTCTGTCATCTATTGGATCATTAAAGTTATGAAGCGATCGCCTTTCGCTAACCTGAGACGATCGCTCCCCGAAAAAGAAATGTGCGGTTGGGGGATCTGATGTTTCCGGTCGTACCATTCGGCTCTGAAGTTTCTTTACGAGCACAGCGGCTACACGGACGTGCGGTGAATTACTATAAATAAATTCGACTCAGTTTCAAAAGTCAATTATAGAACCTTTGTCAACTTGAATGAACTTTTATTCGCCCACATATGGTGTTTTGATAATCACTATTTTAGCGAAGTACAAAACTCAGTTGAATGACGATAGAATTAGCCCCCCAAACCAAAGAGCATCGGGAAGCCGGACATTGTTAAGCTAGTGCTAAAATGAGATTTTCAACGCACGCAAATTGTTTAAATGTTTTTAAGTAAATTATAAAACATCTTGGGTGTGCAATAAATACTATTTCTGAGTCAAAATTTACCTTCAAAGTCGCGCTGAAAATGAGACACGGAAAAACGAAAACAAGGCGAAAACTGAAATAAGAAATAAACGTGTATGCAGAACGAAACTGAGGTATTATCATATTTGATACTAGGGAGGTTAAGAAACGACGACGGCGACCCCGTGGACAACGTCGGTTAAAAAATGAAGTTATATTTTACCTACGAATCTCGCAATACTCAAAGTCATTTAGTTTTTTTCTCTTTGTCAAACTATCTCGAAAATGAATATGGAACACAGCGCTAAATTAGAAAGAGGAACAGAAAAAATTAACCTACGTCGTTCACGTTCTCCAGACAACGCAAAGTTTGGTCATTTCAAGCTGAGGACGCGAAGAAATTTACAAAGATTTATGACGCATATGCATAGCCATTGTTCTGCTCATTAAACCTTTTGTTTAGGGACGTTCCCGTTGCCGTTGCCGTCGTGGTTTTCTTAAACTCCCTACTATTTCATATAGCAACGCAACACAACATGGAATGAGGAAACTGCTGCCTTGTTTGGACTTTCCGGCGCGCGAGTTGACGTCATATGGCGCTCTCGGACTTCTTGACACGTTTCCCACCTTCTCGCGTCACGTTTTCAACGGTGAAACTGAGCGCGCCCTTGCGGCTTCACCGCTTCGGAAGCTACCTTGCACACCACTAAATTGAGTCATTTTTGCGCCGTCTTTACCAACTGGGCTAAGAATTGCGATACCTAAGGGTTTCTAGGTCACGTTTGTTAGCTGACAGGATTCGTCGGATAAAGCTAATCTGTTGTTCAACCCTTAGTACCTAAAGTGTAGGGGGAATCCTCTCTGCTGAGTCATTAAATCGTTCTCCTTGAAACCGCACTTAGAAATTCGTAAGCTATTTACTGACTTGTTCTAAGCATGCTCCAAACTTTCAACAAACTTCTCTCGCGCAGTGCGTGCTTAGTCGACGTAATCGTGTTTATATTCTTTCTTGCAATAAAAAGAGTCCGCTGCGTGCGCGTTGCGTGTTACCAATTTCTCTGCCATACAGATTTGTGATTAGCAAATAGAAAGGCGAATTTTTTTTTAGTTAAAAATGGGTTCCGAGTAGTTTAGAGCGAGAGAATCATCGAGCGAGTTACAAACTCCTGCATCCCGCTTTTGTTTTCATATTTTGCATGGGTCGAAAAAACAAACCGGATAGAACATTTCAAACATTTGATTTCCTGGGCTAAGTGCATGTATGATAAATTCCCATGAAAACCAGCTGAGTTAGATAACCTCTCATTCAAACCACTTGCTAAACATTAGCCCCGTACGAAGTTAAGGAATGGAGTGATATCCTTTTGATCCTTTGCACCTGCAGAAACCCATTTCCTACAATTTTCTCTGATCCCGCTTGCCGGACTCACGGGTGTTCAACAAAACCGCGATCCGACCTTTGCTATCACGTGTGGCGACGCAAACCAGTGCTGCATGCTTTGAAGTTGAACTATGGTCGGCTTAGCTGACTTCATTTTGTTTCTGTCAAAGTATTGAGTTGGAGAAAACGATAAACACTTTATTATTTTACTATTCCGAGCAGCCGTGTGGGGTTGGATCAGTGAACAGATCTGCCTTGAAATCAATCTATCGCACGTTCTTCAAAGTTTGCCAAGAAAACAGTCCTTAACCCAAAACAATATTACCTAATTTCCGCTCTCGAATCGAGAAGGTATAATTATCTGAGATCATGATTGTAAAAATCGTCGCAAATGGCTCATAATTGCTCCGCTGTGACCAGCTTTCTTTGTTTTTCTTCGCACCTTCAGATCCATTAACTTCAAGAAAATGAAGATTTAGCCCGCACAAAAATAGTAACATCGTATGAATTAAATTTATTGTTTATGTAATTTCCAGGAACAATAGGTTAACGCCTAGAAAATTCCATGGCAGATCTCTTTTGCCCCGCAGTTACAACGCTTAGTCAAAGAATGTAACCTTCTCTTTTTTGTCCTCACTAACTTATCAAATTCTCATTTCCTTACACCTGGGGTGTAAACAGGAACAAATATCTTTATTTTGAGATGTTCAAAATACCACATCACATGCAGTATGATTGATCCAGACTGACCTTCAAACCTGGCAAATCCGGCGAAAACAATATTTAACAATTAATTTTGACATGTTTGCTCCCATTTGGTTAAATGTTTAAAGTCGACATCAAAAGACTTTGAGAGAAAAGCATACAAAGGCCATTACACTGCTTAAAAATAATTAATATACTTTTAGCAGTGAAAATGTGGTTATTTCATACTTCAAATTTTGCGGCGATTGCGTCAAAAACACTTCTATCAGATTTGACGTAGATACAGCGATATGTCCATCTAATCAAGCTGACAGTTGACACTAACATCATTCTCGATTGAAACAGGAAACTACTCTGTCATCTTTTTGTTTTCACATAGTCAACGAAACTTAAGCCTCACGTTGAGGCATTATGTTACAACCGAGAACGCCGTCATTCCAAAGAGTTGACGCCTTCTTTCATAGTTACTCGAATTAGCCACAGTAACACTTGCAGCCGTGGGGTTCGCACAGTTATTCTGAGTTTTATCTTGGAGAAGTTTTTCTGTTCTTTATTGTTGGAAAATTTCAGATGTTGCGAGCGTGTGCTCTTCTGTTCGCCGGTATGGCGTCCTTTTGCGGTCTATCAAGTGAGTACGTTCATTGATAATTTTGAATACTGAGATATTGTCATGTTCTGTTGGCGCAATTATTAAACTCTTCAGATATTTTTTCAAAGTTAGCCCAGTAGACTCAATTTAAATGTTTTTGGGGCTAAACGAGAGAAATTTGTTCAGCCACATAGGTACATGTCATAGGGCGACAGTTGAGATAAACGTTGCTTATTCGAATGGAGATCTCTTGTGTTGTTCTCAGGCATCTCGACGCGCGTGGCCTATTCATTTTTCACTTTTAGGGCTTCAATTTTTGCTGCGGGCATGCAGAGAAGAAACTTTAAGCAGAGACAGTACGGTTTATCCGTAGCTACCTCAAAATAGCTTTTGTGAACGCCCCATGTTCAGTTTCAAGCGGCGTGGCTTTTTTTGGAAGGAACAGATTCAGTGCTTTCACTTCCTCGTCTTCTCTTCCTCCAGTCACCTACGATCTGTCGTTTAGTATTTTCTAATTTTAAAGAACTCTGAGCCAAGAAATTTAAAATTTTACTAGCGAAGTAGAAATCTGGTCGATTGCAGTGTGATATACACGAAGAGTTCAAAATTGACTTCAAGTCACATTGTTGAAGAAACGTTGAAAGCTGAAAGCGAGAACGTGTTATGTCACAATGTAGTGTGGTCAGTCTGGAGTTGCGTTGTTCTTTCGTTTCAAATTTTCAATGTACTCTGTAGGATCCTTTTGTGTTTTCTGTCGGCTTTATCTTCATTAACCTCGTTTCGTCCTTGACCGATGCCGTACGAGAGATGTGTTATCATGCTACAAGTATTTCTCACTAAACATCAACATTCCTTGTTAGAACTTTTATTTATTTTCAGGAGTGTTCATAATACATTCAGAATAGAGGTCTCTGCTCATAAGTGGTTCTTCCTTCTTTTTGGTAGGCAAATGGAAGATTTATGGGAGCGTAACCGGTATTCCTTTCGTCGTATTGTTAAGAGTAAACATAAATGTCTTCCATAACTGAATCACGCGCCCGATATGAACTACTTAGAGAAATCCATAAATAATCAAACTCACGAAAAGGGTTTCCTTTGAGCTAAAAATTATTCTAAATATTCAGAGGTAACAAATGTAGGAAGTCTATTTTCCGAGTGACGTGTTACTCTTTTTATGTCACCTACTACGAAATACCCCTAATTAACCAACTCACCGAGCAAGACCTTACTTTAGCATCAAATTATTTCATGTTATTTTTACGATAAACCACAAGTTTACATTCTCAAAAGCTTCCATCTCCCAATTGAGTTCTTTTCGTCTCTGTATGTTTACGTTCTATTGAAAAGAAAGCATTTCGGTTAAATATTTACTCTGTGGGCTTTTAGCTTGAATCGAACGTGACTTGAGAGATTCGAAGTTGTTTTGTTTCACTCAAAATCTATTGTTATAAGCAGAGCTTGAATGCCGTCCTGCGCGCGAAAGATCTGCCGGTTTTTGTAAATTCTGAGATAGTTGGATAAAAAATTTTAACGTTTAGCTTAACTGACAGTGAATTATAAAGTCAGTACCTATAGAAATAATTACCAGTTTTCATATCTCTCCTAAAAAGGACAGTTCATAATTGCCCTCGATTTTCCCTCGTTGAATAATTTATGACAGGATTGAGCCAAATCAATCGGCTCTGGATTTGTAAATGTTTTAAGCTCCCTTGATACGTGTTCTGTTTTACGGCAGTGTACGTCAATTAAGCTGATATAACGAGACCTTTAGGAAAGCTCTGCGATTTTGCACGTTTCATCTCTGATAAGGATCACGTAACAAACATTTTGAAAAAGGCTTCTTGTTTTTAATGTTGTGATTCAGTCCACTCTACGTTTAATAAAGACAGCTTGCCTACTGACGTTAGTTAGAGACTCCTTAGAGAGGCAATGCCTTGAAGAAACGGAGTGAATCTTTAATTGAATTGTTCGTTAAGTTAAAAAAAATTGTTTTAATTTAACTAAATTGTATGTTATTCGTGAAGCCATCAATCTTTTATCTCAGCTGTTTTTCATCACATGTGAAGTATGATAAACAAGCATAGAGGAAACTGTTTGCATGTTCTATTTTTCTCTAAGGTCAAAGCTTGTCATCCAGTGCATAGTGTAACTAGACATATCTTTACGTGTTTTAGTGCACGCATTTTCAAATTTTTTATGTTCTTCATCCTAACTTTTAACTTTTGTCTGTGTGAAGTTGTTTTTAGCACTTGGATCATGGAGGAAATGGGTCACTTAATTTATATTTTTGAAACTGAGTTTCTAGTTTTAAATACCTCTTTCCTCTCTGTGCACCCTATTCACTTAGGGCCCCAAGATAATAGGAGTATTTCGCCCTACTGACTGTCACACATTTCCTTGCAAATTGGATTGGGGAATTTGGTGTTTGATCAATATAGCACCCTCTTACCAATGAGGTTGTCTATTCTCCTTACCTGTTTGCAAGATATATTGGTAAATTAGATGTAGGCCCAGACTACCAAATTTGATATTTACATAGCAATGTTTGAAAGTCATATCAAGCGAAATGGATTGTTTTGAAGTACTTATTTACCTTTTCTTCTTTTTTTTTACCTTTTTTTTTTTATAGTGGCTACTGTAACTCTTTCAAAAACACTCATTACACCCTCGCCTGGAAAGACAAACAGTGTTACTTGTACTGTGAAAGATGGTGAGAGATTTATAGGATGGTTTGATCCAGCTGGTAAAAAAGTACCCACATCATCCAGTGAAAAAATTTTTGTGGAAACTAATGGAAATAACCACAAGCTCAAACTCACAGATGTCAAGGTCTCCTACGGGGGAACTTATACATGTAAAGGAACCACAAATTCAAAATCTTTGAAAGTGCATGTTGAATGTAAGTTACACATTACTTTGCTTATAACCAATGTTGCCAGTGTAGTTTCTGCCCAAGCAGCAAATATTTGCTGCTTATATTGTGGATTTTGGACGGAAACCTTCCAAGTTCAAACAGCAGTTTTAAACTGCTGCAGTAGTTTTTTATAAATTCTCTATAAGTCCTTTAATAAAACCCTCTTGAAGCCATCTTTTACCCTCATAACTCTTTTCAGGTACAGACCTTTGATAGTTTGTTTAAGGTCATGGCTAGAACTGATTCCTGTAAGCATTTTGACCTCTGAGAGTGACCAGCATCTAATTTCTCTGTACAATATTATACCCCTGAATCAAACATTCAGGTCACAGGATTAGAAGAAATGATTAAGAGCAGCTCTTGATTGTGAAACAAATTCTCCTTGTCAGCATCATAGGGAACGTAAATAGAATGGTATGGAGATATTCATACTGATGGTAATGTATAGAGGTTTATCTAACAAGTCAACAACCATAGGCAACCTAGAAAACAACTGGACTTGAAGAGACTCAATGAAACTGACTGCAACTAACAATGCTTCCTGTGTCTTCTCTTAAATAAAGAACAGTGCAAAATTGACCAAAAATTCCTCTGTTTATTTCAGTTGACACATCAGATGTTGTCTCTGTGCAGCACATCCAAATAGATAAAGAAGGCACTATAAGACTTGGCGTTACTGGCTTCCCCACACCAATCTTTACCTGGAAGAAAGGCTCAAAAAGAGTTGGTCCAAATGTAAACTCTCGCTACTCAATTGAAGATGATGGCTCATTAAAAATAAGTAAAGTGGAAAAATCAGACGGGGGGAATTATACCTGTGCTATTGAGCAAGACGGTACTGAGGATGACGTGAAAATTGAGGTGTATGCAGTAGGTATGTAACCTGACACATAACAACTTTTCATAGATGCCCTAGTGTTTAAGATGATGTTAAAAGTATGATGCATTTTGTTACAATGAGGGAAGTGTTGGAGAGCTCACTTCCTCATGGGTAATGCAAGCAGAGCCACTTAATGAACAGTATTCGCTAAATTGAAAATCATCAATCTTCTTTTGCTCAACTTTTGTGATGTTCTTAGCTTCATGGAATACCATTCAACCAGTTGTATCTACATCAGTTATAGACCCATGTTTTCCTCAGCTTCTCCTTGTGAAAGGCAGGGGGAAGAGGTCTCACGTCTTTTTGTGTTCCATGAGTGGTTTGCTTGGGGGTAAAGTTGTCTAAGTTTAAAAATAAAGCAACTTATGTTCTTTTTTTGTCTTCCAGAACTTCCAAAGATCAAGCCATTTGCTCAAACAAAGAAGTACTTAACAGAGGGATACCCTGTCACCTTCCTGTGCGAGGCCACAGGCTACCCTCTTCCCAAGTATAAGTGGTTCTCCCCCAAAAATGTTGAGTTGAGTGAATTTGGAAACATCAAAATTCAAGATGGTAATCTGACCTTCACAACAGTTGACAGTGCTTTTGAAAAAGGCAAATATAGGTGTGAGGCCTACATTGAGATAGGGGAAACTCCAGAGCAGGTTGGACGAGCAGAAGCTTTTGTTGAAGTGGTTGAAGTTTATGGTAAGGCTTAGTAAATTTACAGCAAATCGTAATAATTAACCAGAGTGGCAAGTTCACAGGAAGAAAATTGGAATTTGAGCTAGTACCATGGATAAAGCACTTATGTCACGAAGTTGGGATCTTGAGTAATTTAGTTTATTGTTGGCAATGTTTTGGCATTCCTCATCCTTAACCAGCTATCTATCTTTTTCGGATATATTACCACTTCTTTGCATGCCGAGTATGGCAGATACATATGCATTTTTTCCCTTTCTTACCTTAGATTTTACACAGTAGAATCTCCTTTGCTTGCATAAGATCTTGTTGAGTTTTGCCATACTCTGGAAAGACTGGCTCTTCGGTATTTTCCTGTCTTCTCATGTTAATTTTTTCTTTCCTGTGGATCATTTAATAAATGAATCACTCATGCCCACTTTGGGACTAGTACATCAAATAAAGGCTACTGGTAAACTTCTCAAGAAAATTATATCCATTAAGCAAATGGAGTTTTCATTCATGAATTTACTTCTTTTAGTTGGCTTTGTGTTTATGGCTCTGTCTAAATTGCAACCAGAAAGGTATTTTGGTTGTATGAGGAGACTTGGAAAAAACCAACAATCTAAACAATCACTTTTCTAGGGTTGTTGTATTGTAAAACCCTGCTAACTCAAACTTCTAAGGGAAACTTAAAATGGTTTGAGTTTGCATGGGTCTGAATTATTGAAATTGGTGCTGAATGTCACTTTTATTGTTAGTGATTAATAAAGGAATCATGTTTGTACCATTCTTGCACAATCAATAGTCATTTTGTACATTTGTTTGTTATTCAAAAAATTTTTTCTTAGAATGTTTAGTCTGGAAATTTTGCCCAATGTACTACAATTTCATGATTGTTATCATGTTTGTTTCAGTGGTGATCAGCTGTGCTTTGACACTCTGAAATTTATGTTCTAAATTAAATTACCAGAGTAAATTTGAGCCAAGGGAAAGTAAAATTAGTTAAAATCAAGAGGGAGTTCAAGTAACCCAAGTTTGAGGTAAAGGGGTAAGTTTCTTAAGAAACTGTGATGCAGCATTGGTGGGAGAGTATAGCAGGTAATTTAGTGTTAACAACTGAGTTGAAAAGGTAAATTAGCCACCGTAAAGGGTAAAAAGCTGATGTTTCAAGTGTTAGCCCTTGGTCAGAGTGATTGGAAAATTGAAATCGAATCGCTCTGATGAAGGGCTAATGCTTGAAACATCAACTTTTTTACCCTTTACGGTGGCTCAGTTGTTAACACTAAGTTTGAGGTAGCTGTTAGTATATGAAAAATGGGGGTCAAATCCAGGGGAGTTGGACTCTGTTCAATTTAGTTGATTGTTTAAATTAACAGAGTTCAAGGTTGTGGACTTTGGTATATCTACATTAAATTATAATTGGATTTCCGTTTTACAGATGTCAGTTAACTGACAAATTTTTGATTTTCCTATTTTTAGTTGAACCCAACATTAATCCGACCCAAGGTGTTACAAAGGATGTAAAGATGAGTGGTGATTACAAATTAATTTGTCAAGCCACAGGATATCCCACTCCAGATGTGAGATGGACCAGGAATGGCGAGAAAGACCCTCGTGAACAGGTGAGGATCTTATTGGTTACCAAACGAGTCATCTCCCGCTTACATTAGATCACCTTTGGTTAGGGTGATGGTACATTACATTAAGAAAAAGGTTGTGTGATTATGGGTAGATTGCATAAGATCAGTGATAGATTTTATCCTTCAATTAAACCAAACCAAAAACATTAGTATTCATATTCTTCATACTCTTCACAATATATTTCCTTTGCTATTGACAAGGAGAATTTGTTTAATAATCAAAACTTGTTAAGATGGCAATCATTTCCTTTATTTTCATGATCGTAATGAATGATTCAGCAATTTTACTGCTTGGAGAAAGTAGATGCTGGTCACTCCTAGGGTTTAAAGGATTCAGAAAAGTTTCAAGAAGGTTGTGTATTTCTTGTTTGTGTAGCAAACTCGTGGTCAAAGTATGATTGAGTTCAGAAGAATTCAGGTGGAGGATGGTGGAGTCTACACATGTGAAGCATGGAACAGTGCTGAAGACCAATATGGAAATCTAATTGTTAAAAGACTGAACAAAACAATAAATGTTGAATGTGAGTTGCTACACTATACAAGACTTGCTTATGATAGTTAAATTCTGGTACACTCATTTGTGCAACTTCAAGGCTTGGCTACTGTTTGCAATGTAAATTTTTGATTGACACTCTTTTACATGGATTTTGTGTTTTGTTCTGTTTCAGCTAACTTTTCTGCACAAACTTAAAGCAGCATATACATTAAAATTTTGGCCAATTGGAGGGGTGGTTTATTAAAATAGAATGCCTAGTTAAAAGCTACTAATCAGTACTGATTCCACTTTAGCTGATTCTTAAAAAGTTTTGAATGATGCGGCAATAGAAACAGGTTTTCCTTGTGTTGCTGCCATTTAAGAAAGTGAGGGAGGAGGGGGGGTGCTTGTTTGACATTAGGACTTTAGGGATGGGTGCATAATTGGGAGAGGGTGCCCATCAGAGTACTCATGCTTATCACTTGGGTAATCACATACTAATTTGGATTTCACTCAGGCTTGCTGTTACTGATGTATAATATATCCTTGTAGCTAAACCTATTTTTGATGAGAAGGCTTCAATCAACCCTGTGTTCTCTTACGTGGGGAACAGTGATCCAACATATGTACGCTGCAAATACGAGGGATATCCTACACCTTGGGTTGTCATGACTTTTGATGGAAAGCTGAAGTCCAATGCTACTGGAACAGCAGAGATCGAGGTTATAACAGATGCAATCAAGTACTTTGGTGACTACAAGTGTTATGCACATAATAAGTTTGGATGGACAAATAGAACTGTGACAATGGAAACAGCAAGTATGAAATTTTGTTTAATGTCACTGAGGAGATTTGTTAGTATAGTATGCAATGTGTGGCTTTATGACTTATTTGTACCTTGTTGTAGAGGGATTTCCTGACAGTATACCTGAGTCACTTCTCTGAAATTTACAAAAGTAGCTTGTACACCCTGAAGGTTATTTTGGAAAGTCCTTTTGAAACAAGCTAATTTGTTAATTTTGTTATGAATAAGCCACTTTTTTGATGAAATTCTGTAGCAGCATGAAAGATGAATCGCTTATTAGATCTTGACCCAACATATCCTAATATCAGTATACAATTTCCTCTTACTGTTCTTTCTACTTTCTTGTAGTGTGGCCAAGGAGAAATTGTTTAACAATCCTAAGGCTCTGTATTTGTTGGTCATTTCTTTCATACTTGTGACTTTAATGTTCAATGCAGTGCTAGTGGTGATACTGTTAACTCTTAACCCCTAAGAGTGATTAGCATCCAATTTCTCCTTACAACATTACTGCTGAATCAAACATTAAGGTCATGAGAATAAAGGAAATGATCACCAACCAAAGAAGCCCTTGATTGTTGAACAAATTCTCCTTGTCAGAACCTTAGGAAATGTCCAGGGAGTAGTATGGAGAATTTGCATACTGATGTTAGGGTGTAAAGAGTAATTAGAAATCGGATGCTAGTCACTAGACAAAAGGAGGCGGTGTTTGGTAAAAATAACTTTATCGGAACTTTTTGTCTTGCTTTTCAGAAAAGCCAAGTCAGGTTCAAGGTCTGAAACCAGTTCCCACCTGCAATAGTATCAAACTTACTTGGAAAGCGCCCAGTGAAAATGGTGGCATGCCTATCAACAAATATGTTTTGAATTACGAAACCACGACGCGTAACGTTGATGGTGATTCGACAACATACACGATTAGAAACCTGGAACGGAACACTCGTTACAGTATCAAAGTGAGGGCTACCAACAAGGCAGAATGGGGAGACATGAGTGTCGTGGAAACAAAGACTACCCAGTTCTGTAAGTAAAATTCAATCATTGTTACCCCTACAAACCTACAACCTACAAAATTTTGCTGCTTCTGGTCAATCCTTTACACCCCAACATCAATATGCATGTTCTCCAAAAAGGTTTTGTAGACATTTAGTCACACTCATGGTTAAAAATTGAAATTAGCTTGCATGCAGGATTAATAAGAATATGACATTAATATATAACTTCCCTTTACATCAAGTTCTCATATGCATGATTACATGCTAGGGTTTCATCCACACTTTTGTAAACTTAAAAGTTGGCATCATATACATTTTACATGAACCATAAACAGTTTCATTCATGGACCGGAAGTCAGCAACACCTTGTGTCACATAATAAACAGAAGTACCAATGATAAAAAGGATTTGCTCTGTAGCTCTTTGACCTCCCACAAACAAAAAGGTTTTGTCTGCTCATCAGAGCTGTGAAGTAAGAATCTGTCACATCATGTAACAATGAACTAAAACAAAGAGGTCCCCTCCTGGGAAAAGGAGTTAGAGCCACTTAACCCCAGGAGCACCAGCTTCAAGTACAACATAATAGACAATATTGATCACAAGCAAGACCTTAGCTGGGTCACCCTTTTTTTGACGATAGTGTCACCGTCCAAGCGGGGTCAACTTTTCTTTTAATAAAAACTTTGGCTAGCCCACGCGCCCAGCTGGGTCAACTCGGTCAAGGTCAATTAGAGCATGCGCGAGTGCTGTTGTAGTTAATACATAGTGTCAAGATCTAAGTCCAGCTCATCAGGCTTGGTAAATAAGTGGTCTTGGAGTCCTGCTCTTGTAAAGTCAATTATTGACTTTGTTAGCTGGGTTCCCTGTTTTTGTTTTCCCGCCTTTCTTGGTCACATGACCTTTGTCGCTCAAAAAATGTTCTGTTTACCGAAATCGTTTTGGTCAACTGCTTGGTGCTTGCGTTTGTCTTTTGTATATTTCCTTTGGTTTTGGGCATTCACTCTAGTAACGAGGTTAGAGAAGCACTTGAGAAAACCATTAAAGATGAATTTGGTCATTACAGACTTCTTGACGGAATATAAAAATGTCTGTGAGGTTAATGTCATCGACGTCAACGTCGACATAGTGAAATTTTATTCTGATGATCAAAACTGACTCGATCAGCTCTTGGCTTGGGCAAAGGGGTAGTTTTTCATTTTCTCATTTAAACACTTGTTTAAGGCTAACAATGACAGTCACATCGCCTAGAAATTAATTACATTAAAAAAAATACCCTTACCTTACGAGAAGAGATCTCCTCTCTTCCCTGTAGTGCGACCGCAGTTTTAAAACGCCGCCATTTTGTCTCTATTCTTTAGGTGCCCCGGGTCGACCAATCATCTACTCGCCCAAGGGCAGTCTTCTGGAGGAGGACGAATTCACATTAAAATGGCGGCGGCCTGAGGACGACGGAGGCGACAGTAACATTAAATATAAACTAGAGTACCGTGTTGAGAGGAAGGGAAGCGATGGACCTTGGAAAACGATAGAAACCGAGAAACAAGAGGCGAAAATCAGTCAAATGGATAACAAAGAGACTTACAAATTTGTCCTGGTTGCCATCAATAAAGGGGGCGAAAGCGAGAAGGTGATAAAGTATTACAAAACAAACTATCCTGAAGGTAAGATGTAACTCAGTTAACTGTGTTAATTTGTATGATAAGCTGTTTTGCGCGCCATTACGCGCGTTTTGATTGGTTCTTACCGTCAACCTTTTAACAATTATTCCACAAGTGCGCGTTGGATATGAGATGGTAGATAGCCAAGTACCACCAAGGAAGTAAGGATTGAATGTGTAAGTTTTTTGACTTTCCCCTACTGTTGTCTTTTTTAGAGACATCTTCACAATCAAGCCTCGTGCCCAGAGCGTTTCTTACAATCTGTCTAGGAGGGATGTATCTTCTGCTCTGACATTTATAGTGCCGACGAGTGATAGTTCAACGCAAGAAACATTCCTCACTGAGAAGACAATATAAATTTTGTAGTACGTTTGTTAATAATCGATTGTAGTGATTTATACATCAGCTATCGTAATGGCACCCGGTTTTCTTGGTTCACAAGATAAGAGTGCGATTCCGAGCTCGGACTTATCTTTCTCTGGTCCTTGAGTTGCCAGGCAACCCAGTCATTTAATGGAGGGGGCAAGTTTCTAAAGAAACTGCGGAGGTGCGTCGGTGGGGGTGTCACAAGACTGATTAGGTTAATCAACTGAGTATATAATTTAAATTGGCCGCTCTATGTTGTGACATATTTACATTATCAACCTACTCATTGGCTTGCTAGGGAGCTTAGCGTGTGAACGTGGGAAGGACAGTTGTTGTTTACTGACTGGATGATAGCTGTCTAATTCTGCTTGGGATTCAGTTGTGTTACAATACTTGGGCCTTTGCAGTAACGTAATGTTTTTGGAGTGAAAGTGTAATCGCGGCTCATGTCGTATGGTTTTTTCGTGATAATACGTGTTCTTAATTTTTAGCCAAGTTTCTTACCTTGGAGTGTTAATAGAGGTTTTTGAAACGTTTGCCTGGTTGTGATGATTAAGTACATCGTAATTTTTAAGCCGAACACAGTTAACGAAGTGTGAGTCACGCAACGCGTTTGTCTATTGACCGCCTGCATTATGCTCCAAATCGCGCTCAAAGGGTTTTTCCTTCTTAAACACGAGGCATTTTCTTTGTCTCACGAGCTCAAATATCTTTTATATTTACACAAGGTATGAAGGGAAAAAGCAGTTAAATTCACGTGAAAGTTTGGTGATGATACTGTATGTTTTTGATCGATGATGAAACGGTTTGTAAAGAAGAATTAGATTTGTTTTAACAGAGGGCTTTGCATTTCAGTATTAAGCTCCCCAGGTTTTCAGCAAATACTTAAATTAGATGAAATTTATGGATTCTATTTGGTAAATTTAGGTATTATTGATGAAAATATAGTTATATTAATTTGTTGATGTTTACGGAGTAAAAGTAGTGGTAATAGATTGGTTAGGGTTTGTAGTTTTATTTGCTTGTTTTTGTAATCTTTTTTTTTAATTCTTATAGTTTTCTGATCTCTACAAGAAAAAGTTGTGAACCCTCTCTTTTTTCCTCTCTATTTGGACAATTTTTACTCGATAGTGCTTCAGTAGGCGTCCTTGAAATATTTGTCACGCAACACATTAATGTTACGCTAAGACGCGCGACAAACCAAGAAACGCCGTAAAACTGCCGCCTACAAACTCTCTTTTTATCCAACAGGAGTAAAACTGACAAATGTCATGTATAAAATACAATGCAGTTCGTAATTAAACTCCATGTTAGAGGAAGAATATAATAAAATAAAAAATTTCGCTTTATGAACTTTGGGTATCATGCGTCGCCTTAGCATCTGATGGATCTGGTGGCTTGATTTCATTACCTGGTTGAATAAGAATTTTTGAGGATACTGTGAGTAGCTTCGTAAGGCGGGGGCGAAAGTATATCCTTTCCAGAAGTTTTTAGTATCTCTCTAAGCTCCCTGGGATTTGGCGTTTTGGTTTCATGTTTCTCTCTCCTCAGCGAGGTTTAATATGCTCTCCAACCGCCTTCCACAGCCATATCATTTCCAGAATCTCTCTTATTTCCTAGAGAATACCTAGGAACTAGATTGTTCGCACAGAAATAGTGTACCTCTTCCCTATAATCAGGAAAGTAGAGGCTGGCGAAGTTTCACAAGAAAAGTTATTCTCGAGGAGAAATAAGAGTAAGTTCCATTTATTGAAATTTGCACAATTGTTTTCTAACGAAAATTTAGTTTACTGGATAGAAACGTACGGAAATTGAACTAGCATGTATTCAAATGTTCTGTTAACCAGGCTTAATTTGCTCGCCTAACATGACCATCCTACGAACGAAAGCAGAATATATAAGCACGCAAAAGCGCATACAGAGCTGCAGAGATACCTTAAAATATTTAACGAACACAACCCTTCACTTCTGTTTTAGACAGGTTTTCTTCTTGTTTTGTGCCATTTGGTCTTCAGGTGGGGACCGAGTCCAGAAGCCCTTTGAAAGGACCCCTCTCTCGAGTCTGTTATTTACCTGAGGTGTACCTCGATCTCCTTTTCTTGGAATTGCGGTGCGCATTGTAACATGGCTTTTATTTTTGCAATCTAGTTATCACAGACTGCGCCCCACGCCTTTCCGAGGAAACGTAACTGCGCCTTCCCAGGAGGTAGTATACAAAGCAGGTCAATGAAGATTTCATTAAACCCGAGTTACTTTACTATTTTCTCTACTTTCGCACTCTTGTAGTTTCCTGAAATTCCTTTTTACCCTAAATCTTCCTACCCCTCTATGCCTATATTATAATAAAAAAATTGAGACAGAAGACAACCTAAACATTTTCGGAGCAGAAAAGTTCTATCTCTTCTGAATGACTCTCTCCGATAGCGGCTGCCCCATTTTGAGATTTTGCTGCCACAAAGCAGTAGAGCTGTACACTGCCGATGAGTACCAAACCAACTCCGACCACTGTCCCACAAATAACAAGAATTATTACCCATAAAGGGAGGCTGCGAACGTTAGTTGATTGACGTACAGGATCTGCAGACCAGATAAAGAAAGTGTTACTGGACGAACGCTTTAAAGAGAGGATTGTGGAGTAAATGAATCTATGCTCGAATCTTAGACCACTTTCATAAACTGATTACTCCGAACATTTTGCACCACAACCATGTCAGTGCAGTAGGCTTAGCCTGTTCCAGGCTTTCAGTCGGCAAAACTTAAACGAGGGAAGTCTGGGCCGGGTCGGGTCGCGTGGAGAACGCAAACCAACCCAAGCCTCCCTTTTTCACTCCTGCACCGTATACTATCGCGCTTCGTTTTACTAACTGAATACCTGGGACAGGCTGGATAAGCTGAGAGAGGACCACACACTCCGGCAGCCTAATGCTCCACTCTTTTCGTAAATGAGTGGATCTCCACAAGCCTCAGTAAACATATCCCTTTCAACAATTTCGTGAATCTCGTAATCAATGTTTTACCAGTAGTAAGTTAGGGGCAAACAATGCAGAAATAAAAACAAGTGTTATCCATTTTACCCCAAACGGAGACTGACTACTACTTTCTTCTTACAGTTACACCCTTGAATCAAATGCAAAGATCACGAGGATAATGGAAATGATCACCAATTTAAAATGCTCGCGACTGTCAGACAAATTCTCCTTGTCGGTACCTTTGGAAACGCAAAGAGAACAGTTTGGAGAATTTGAGTGCAAAATTACCTTCAAACGTCCTATAGGACTGTGATTGAAGAGGTTTGCGGAGCATGACAGGACCGAGGGTGATGCGGTGTTCCTCTTCGTCCCCAGTGCTCCTCTTGCGCCGAAGGTCTGATGACTGACATCCTTTGCTGCAGCGTGAATTTCCTTCCTTGTGACAGACGATGACATTACAGTGAAGATAAACCACAGTGTAATTTGCGATCCAACGAAACGGCACAAGCTGAAAGCGCTGCGTGTCTGTCAAAGTGTGGGTGTAATCTGTCCCGTTATCGATAGGGCAACTGGAAAGGACAAAAACAATAGTGTGGATTAAAAGCATGGTCCTGGAACGGTTTGATTTTATTTACTTTTTTTTCTTTAATAGCCCTACTCTGTCGAGTGAGAGAAAAAAAAAAGATAATTACGCAGCCTGATAATTTTCGCGGAAAAAAGTGTCTTGATAACAATTCGGAGAATTAATTAGGGGGGACGGAAGCCCCCACTCACAATCACCCTTCTTACTTACTTCCAACGTTTGAAGACGTAGTTAATGTACTGATATCCGCATAGTCCTTCTGTATACCCACTGTATATCATAATAGACAACTTTACTGCAAGCCTAGCTTTAAAAATGAGGACCAGATGATTTTGAACTACTGCAACACCTCTTAGTTCAAAGGAATACTCTTATGTAAACAAGAAAAAAGTGGCTGATGACAAAGGACAATGATGCTTAAACGAGACGTGTAGTAAAATTTCAAACAATATTTCACTTGCGTCTATGCTATTTAACAAAATACTCGCCCGTTGTCGATAAACTTGTACTGTATGCTGTGTGATGGGTCCATACTGGGTGTGGCCACGCACATGTCAGCACGGAGGATGAGGTCTGGGTCCGAGGTGTCCAATTTTGCCTGGCAGTACAACTGACCGAATGGGTCGATGTTCACCGGGTATTCTGATACATCATACGGTTTCAAGTACTCGGCACTTCGGTACAGACCCATCTCAAGTGAGAAGTTACCATACCCCTCTAAAAGAAGATAGAGGAAATAACCTCTTAAGTTCTATATTGGCCTCTTTTCTTTTGTTTTGCTGACATTTTGCTTCCAAAAAGGGCTTACGTTCAACTCCAAAATTAATGATTAAGTGAGAGTGCGTGATACACAGGCGTGATCAAAAGAGTGTGGTAGTGATATGTGGGTGAGCGCGAACGAACAAATTATAATCATGACGATAAAGTACTACGCCTGAAACATTTGTACTCTTATTTTAGGAGAAATTTCGTTCTTTTGTTTACAGAATTTAAGTGTTACAGTAGCTTTCGCCAAGGGATGTTTAACTCTAAATAACATTTCCTATTTCCGTCATGATCACACTTTGGCTCAAAAATACAAAGAAATTTAGGATCCATGTCAGTATATGAGAAACTGCGCACCAACCCCTCCTCTAACCCAACATTAACCCTACCTTAATATCAGTTGAATGTTGTTTGTTTTAAGGGATGGTTCAGATACTCACACCGATCCCGAATTTATAACAAAATTTACCTTCAAAAAAGGTGATCTTTTTTCTTGGTTGAAAACTTGGAGTTCCGATTGTATCTTGTCTGTTGTATGTACAAGAGAACGGAAATTCGACAACGTACACAGTTTTCTGATCTTTGGTTTGTGCTACGACTTTGTTGAAATAAGTTATGGATTCCTCGCTCTGCCGACTTGAGGTCCCGCAGGCGTCCAGCGGTGTTCTCAAGGAAACACGCGTAGAGCTGACGGTGAGAGGACCGCAGGATTTGTTTTCAAAGCGGAAAGTCTCGACATCAAGATAAGTAGATTTCAGGGCAAAGTCGACTTGCATGTAAGATGACGTGCAGTTGACTGAGATGTCGTATACTAGGACTGGCTGAGTGGGTAGTATTCCTGTTCCTGTACCTTTGAGGAGGAAAAGCGATATATAATTAACATTTATGCACGGAAGTGGAGGTGGCTAGCCGTTAATATTTACTAAGCCGCGAACCAGCGAGGTAAATATCCACTACTAGCCGCCGACACTGAGGTGAAAAGTTGTTTTAGAATATGCTAAAACAGTTAGATAATATAGCACAAAAAGATGATTTTAACTTATTCAATTCTGCAACGATTACAATATTTTCGGGCGCAAATCCCGCACGAGTTGCTCGTAGCAAAGGATATTCGGAATTGGAATAGCCAATCGGAGCGCGCCTTCGACGCTATCCACTGTTTTAGTCTAAACTAAAGGTAGCTATTAGTTCCAGTATTGGTAATAATAGTTAAACTTAATTTTTACACGGTGTTTCCATTCAGGTAAAAACGAACACTTATTTGAAAGGATAAAACAAACTAACTACGCAAAGCTAACAACTTGTTTTACAAGTTAACATGCCTTACAGGGATGCCGTGTATGAATATTTTATTAAAGAGTCAGACGGTATCAGTTTAGGAGATGTGTTTCCTTAATATTTTTATCTTTATAATTCACTTCGGGAGTTTAATTGTTTCATTTCTCTCTGTATGTGATGTCCTAGAAAAGCCCCGCTATGGCTAAAACTTCGTTCAAAATAATTAACGCGCGGTTGTAGCATAGATAACTCGTATTCAGCATTTCTTAGACAAAAAAGAGTTGATTGTGGGTGAGAGTTTTATTGCGCTGGAAAAACCTGGTGTTGCTAGGTACGTCAGGATTAAGTCTGAAAGTCTTGCTTTGTAAACATACTAATACAACATCTATGAGCAGGAACTGGAAAAAGACACGATTATGACAGATGCATATTAACTGCGAGTAGCCCCCAGGAAAATTTCTTAGCCTGATGTTCCAAAATTTTTACCAAACGTAGAAAAAAAGAAACACAAGAGATTATGTAGAACAAAATTGTTTGTGTTGAAACTTAAAACAGGAAAGGTCACACAACTTGAAAACTTTATCCCCCCCCACCAATCATCATTTTTTTCAAGCCTTCCTTCCTATCTGTAAACCGTTGATAACTTGTGTCCGCCATAGGGCTATTCAGAGCCACCTTAATTTTCGTAATGTCATCGCCAAGGAAAGCCCTTTGCGCAATACAGTCGGCTTGTAAATGAATAGCTTATAACTGCACTT